AAGATTTTCCTGCTGTTATGATTTGCTTTATATGTTTGCCCCAGTGGTAGAGACGTGAACTGGGAAGTAGAGCTGAGGTTTGTCGCATTTGAGTGTCCATACGAAGCACTGGAAGCGGTTCTGGTGGCAGACACAGGCGCAGGAGTAGCTTGTGCAATAGAGCTGTGAAAGCTTTCAAAGGGCCTGGCTTTAATTAAGCCCTTAGAAGTTTTGAAGAGCTCTGATTTCCGTTTGTTTCGAGTTGACAGCAGATCACAACTTCCTTCCTGAGCCCGTTGCTCTCGGCATACGCGGAGGAAAAGGCGGCATCGGCCAGGCCTGCCGTTCGGGTCCGCGCTCTGTGCTGCTTGATACCGACCAGGCAGTACTGCAGTTAGAGGCTATTCTAGGTGCAAATTCTATGGACTTCACTTCATGCCACCTGAGGATTAAAAAATGTATCAGCAAATATGCATTCCACTCCCTCAGGAGAGCATCAGTATCATTTTGGAGAACATTAGATTGTTTGTGGGTGTTTGCAGCGAGAGAAATCTTGTATAAATTTCATAGCTTATGTATAAGTGGAGGGAATTCTGTCACCATATGGGTATGGGTTTTTTTTTCTATGCATAGATAATGAATAAATGCTCATTTGAGCTTTGGGCATCTTAGCAGAAATTGAAATTCTCTAATGAAATGTGTGACTGTGACTGCCAATGTGTTCCTACAGACATCCACAGCGATAAAATGCCCTCCATACCAAGTGGTTGAACGGGGATGCTGCCTCTGCAGCAATCCCCAGAACGCTACAGCATCAATATGAAGCCGCTTTTATTTTTAAATCTGCGCTTTTCCCAAAAATAGCAAAAATTAGGGAGAAAAATTGGGGAGACCAGCACACAACAATGGCACTGTGCACTGAGGATTAACTTGAGCTTTACAATGGAAGTGTTCGCTCTTTCACTGCCTCCTCTAAGTTGTGCTCCCAAAGAGCTGCCTTATAATTGTGTCTGTTCCCCCGTCCCCTGTTGTCAAAATGATAACATGAAACCCAGCTGAGCGACCTGATTTCTTAGGACATGTTGACCTGCTTCATTGTTCAATCTTTAGCCATGAGCAGCTTCAAGTGGCAGTTCTCTGGGGAGCTCTCTGCAAATGCGTGGAAGCCACATCCTGGGATGCAGTCGATGTAAGGAGCGGAAACATCACTGGATTCCAGGGTTATTAATTTGGTCCTACAGAATAAAAGGATTCTGAGCCCTGTGATGCTCTGTGTTGTATTTCACCAGGCAGGAAATCGTTACAGTTAGGAAAACATTTAAACTGGGATGGATCTTCTGCTGATATAGGCTGCCTATTAACTACTTATTTTAGATTTGTGATATAACTGAAAAATACTAGGGGGAAAAAAATCTTAGTGTGACAGGGGAATTTTGGTTTTGTGCTTGATTCTATAGCACCAAAAAAAAAAAAAAAAAAAAAAAAAAAAAAAGAGAGAGAGAGAAAAATCATCACAAAAAAAGTATTATTGTATTGGGTATGATTTTCTTTTCATATTTTTTTTTTTTGTCTTCAAATAGCCTATGTTCTGCTTTCTCATGTTATCATCTTTGGTCTGCTAATAATGTCTGGAGTCATTATAGGTGAATGTGTGAGATGTGTTTCCTATAATCTTGAAATGTCTTTCACATCAGTGTGATCCCCGTTTACTCTAAGTGTAAATACTAGTTCTAATTAGCTGCTTGGGTGAATCACACAGAGACATGATCTAAGAAATCAGTGTTTACGTCATCTAAGAAATCAGTGTTTTAAATACCTAAGCATATTTAACTCAGCTTTCAAAATCTCAGTCAAATCTGAAAAATCTAAACTATGGGGCTAGTGAGGCCCCATCTCTCCATACATATGTAGAAAATATGCTTGAAATGGAAATATAAAAATTTTGAATGTGACTACCTGATTTTTTTTTAAATTGTCTTAAACGAAATAAATGTCACTTTGAACAAATAAATCCCCTATAGAGTGGCAACTATGGGTATAAAACATTGAAGCATTATTGTGTTTTCTATGAAGAATGTGTTGACTATAATATTTAATAGTAGCTTTACATCACAGGAATAGGAAAGCATAAATAACATGTAAAATTAGCAAATGATATTTTGTTTTCATGTGCTTTCTCTATTCAAATTCTTGTTAGATTTGTTCCCTTGCAAAGCTCCACTTCTTACTTTGAGACAACACTGAGTTCATCTTTTCAGATTTTTGTTGAAATTAATTTAGATTTTGCTGTCAAACAAATTATAACTATATTCTGCTGTGTAATCAAATTAAATCATTGCTGTAAGTCACAAACACACAGGAAAAAGATTTTGTTTCACTATAAATTCGTTATAAGCTACAAAGTTGAACATCAAGCAAATCACTTGGAGTCAATTACCTTTATTAATGTTTGTTTGACTCTTTGCTAGTGTTGATGCTCTCCATCTATTTTGTGTACTTAGATTTATGGAATGCAAAGTTGTCCCTCACACATTCTGCTAGGTTCATTTCCTTGAAAGCAGAAGGACCCACCCAGAAATTACCTTTAACTTTTTTGGTCTTGGAAACCGTATAATCGACTCCAATTCAAGGCATTGAAATACAGAATATCAGAACTAAGAATATTTTTTAAATTTCTTTCATGGGATAATCATATTATTTCTGGATCCTGGTTGCTTCGGTTTCCATCTTGGATGTGGGCCCAGCTGCCCAGATCTTGCCTTGTGAACACGCTGGTATACAGAATACATGGGCAGTTAATACTGCCTCCTTATTCAGTATTATATTTAGTATAATTACATTTATATGGATTCACTTCCTAGCAGAATGAATGCTTTAACTAGTAATTCAACCAAACTTGTAAGCAATATAGGATGAATTTCTGGTATCCCTGAACAGAATTTTAAGAAAATTTTTGTCTACCGTGTTTTTTTCACAGATAGCAAGGGCAGAATTAATATGATGTTTATGAATAACTCCTACCAAAATATTGTGCATTATTCAGCCACTTCTGATCCTGGGTTTCTGTTGTTTCTTTTGAAGTCAATAGGAGCAATGTGTCTTAGTCACCTGTGAACACTAGGTGTAAATCTGCAGGGACTTGATGGTGCTTTGCTTTTTTGCGTGTTGCTTCATAACTTGGCAGGTTGTATCCGTCCAGTTAACAGACACCTCTTTGTTATTTTGTTGTTGTTGTGAAAATTTTAAGAAAAACGGGGGCAATGTGGGACATGGGCAACTTCCCTTTCTTATCTCATCAGCAGAGCCTAACTTGTTCCAGATCTAGGTAAGGTGCAAAAGTAAAGAACAGTTGATGACACCCCATTAACAGCTTTCAGCATAATACCTCCAGCTAGCACTGTTTCCAGAGAGCTTTAAATATTGATGTAATAATGATTTCTAACCTCAGTAGGAAAAAAAGAAATGGGAATTCAAGAAATGGGCTGCAAGAAGGATGGGAATGGAGAGGAATGGACAGCATTGGGAAGGAAGCAGGCAGGTGGGCACTGCCTGTTCAGATTTTAGAATTGTAGCAAGTTAGAAATATTCTGAAAGTGGGTGATAGAAATGTAGAGGAAACAGCCATTTTTATGATGGGGCAGTTTATTAACTTCCTTCCAGGGGTGCTTCATCTGTGTAGACTCCTACAGAAACTCTAGTGTCCACAAAACTTTAATGAAGTTTTATGAAAATCTTAATGAAATCACTATGACAGAAATAATAATGACATTGAGTGTATAATACTGTTCTCCAAATGAATTTAATATAGATTTTTTTTTTCTGTCTTCTTATTTACTTCTATAATTTGCTTCTGGGTGCCATGTTTGGTCTTTATCATTTACATAGTCAAATGTTTCATATAAGTAATAAATTAGTAATCTGTTTTGTCACCTTTCCAATATATATTGAAACTTTAATGGAGCTGAGAATCATTCTGCTTCCCAGTGAACCAATTAGGTATTATGTCTTTTAAGTAGATATGAGTAGGCCATTAAGTATTTATTATCTGCATTTTTAAAGGAAACTCATAACATTTTAAAGGAGCCCTCGATGCTGAATCATGAATTTATCCTTTTCTCAGCACCTTCCTGAACTTGGCAGGTCATGTGACTTCATTTTGTCTTGCATAATTACAAAAAGAACCCATGGACTTAYTAATTACTTAATTTTTAGCTGAGTTTTTGTAGTTCTAAATTTTTGTGTCCCCTGTCCACTTCATATGCCGAGACAGGGGTGAAAGAAAGGGCATGAGGGTGGCAATGCAACAGCATTAACCAAGAAAGTAAATCACTGCATCTATTAGGGGTGGCCGAACCTTCATGCATCCAAAACAGCAACACAAGATATAAAATGTCAAAGACCAGCAAGGATTTTAGAATTTTTAATTAGTACCTTATGAGGATTTGGGGTAGCTCTTGCTGTAGGTTTACAGTTCAGTAATGAATGAATCCAATGTGTCCTGCAGGACACATCTCCTGGGCTTCTGCCTCTGTGCCTCCTCCTCCTGCCACCCTGCCTAAAGGATCTTCTGGTGGGTGACGTCTTAGCAATTCCCATGCTGGCCATTCTGAGGAAGCATAAACGGTGAACAGGGAGCAGTCATTTGCAGAATTAAGATTTTTTTTTAAACTCCTAAAATACTTTTAATGGGGTCTTAGATGTGAACATAAGAGAACAATTTATTTTTGGACAGRTTATGCTTCTATATAGTGAAACAAGTATCTAAGAAATAAAATCACTGTTCTTGAATCATTTCTAACATTTTCTTTATTCTTTTCTTCATCCTGAGATGAGCTGCTTGCAGCACACTGTACACATTTGCTGACTACGTTCAATTTGCCTAATGCTTCATTATCAATTGGTTATTTTTAAGTAAAAGCAAAACAAAACAATGCAACTACTATCATTGTTCTAGGAGAAGTAAACATGCCAAAATACTTGAGCACTACTGGAATGAATGATCTGAACTTATCTAAATGCAGATGGATGTTGGATGCACGCCGTGAATGCTGATGCATGCGGAGCCCACTTCATCCRTGCCACGCAGCTCTGAGCAGATACAGCAGCTCTTCTGCTGGAAGCGGCCGAGGGGCTGAGCAAGTCGCCCCGCGATGATCTCTGCAGAGTTCAGGGCTGAGCTCTTGCATTTGACTTCAGAGACCCAATTAGGCGCAGGTTTTTCACGTACAGTGATTCAAATCCAAAAGGTGAATATATACAGGATTTGTTTTGGTTTGTTTTGTTTTTWTATTTGACCTTAACATCCTTTGTTCCTAACCTTGTGTCTAGTTTTGTGTCTAGGGCCTCTTCTATATGTAGGGCCCTCAATTGCCTGTAAGAACTGCATGTTTCAGTTCTTTTCTTAAGGAATRGCTGCTCCCCCTATTTGGACAGTCTTTGCAATCTTTAGGGTGCTGGTACTGGATTTACTGCATCCCTCGTGAGGCTTGATCCCTAAGTCCCATCATACGAATCCTGTTTGTGTCAGGAGAGGGCCTCAAAGTCAGCCTCCCTTCAGCCTCTGCAGTCTCTGCACTGGTGGGATTCTGTCTCCAGCCATAGATGAGGCTTCCCTGGTCCCCTCAAAAAGGCGATGTAGTGGGAGCGAAAAATCCTTTCATTTTATGTACTTTGTTTGCTTGCRGCAAAGCATAAAATAATAATAATAGTAATTCAGTTTAGCGAGCTATTTAGAACAAGTACACATCATGTAAAGCATTAAAATGTGTCAAATGTCACATTAAACTCAGATTTMCATATTTATTAACAGATTTGGAAGGTAGCATTAAATAAGTGTAAACTTCCATATTTAAACTAGCAAGTAAAAAYATCTAAATGCCGTGGTTACATTTACAGACAATAGGAAGGAGATTTATTAAATATATATGGTTAATTATGTTACCTAATTTTATTAATATATCTAGTTATATATTCATATATTATTTTTAAAAAAAAGGAATAGGCTTTCTGCACATTGAAATCTCTGAACTTATAATGAAAACCAACATTTTAGATTCCTCCACCCACCAGAGGATGTGGAGGGTCCCTCTCAGCTGACCCAGGGGCTGACTTCATTGTCATCCACTTCAAGGTTCTTTGACACAGGATATAAAAGCTTCTAGGAGCAAAAGTTATTTATGTGAAGCTTTACCTGGATTTTAGCTGAGTCCTTTGTAAATTGAAAGCATTTATGGAATTGGCTTATGGATCCAAATTTAGTTTTTAAATATTCACCTTTTTTGAAATTCTGAGATTCGGGGTCAGGCTGATGTGTCTTCGAAATGTGGATCTTGCTTTGGGCACAGAGGCCGTTTCTGATTCTGGAAATACAATAACTTGGTAGAGCAGGAAGGAGTCCTATTAAGCACTGTCTTGTTCTAGCAAACCATCCTCCAGCTGATGTAGTGCTAGGCCAGCTGTTAATAATTTTACAAGCAGAGCGTGAAATAGCAGCTTGATACCTGACTAAAGGGGAGCTACAGCATCGCATGAGCACATTTCAATGTGCTACCCTTAGCGAGCTGCCATTAATGCCGTTTCAAGGAGTCTTTGATACTGTGGTTGGGATACTTGCTATTACATCCATAGTGACAGCTCCAATTGACAGGATTAAAAAGACAAAATTAAAAAAGGAATTATTTCATGCCCTCAAGTGCAGATAAGAACAGCTACATCTCTGCTACGTGTCTTGGCTTGACAGTGGATTTTTTTTTCTTACGGCTTTTCATGTTCTGCCCAGTTCTTAAATTCTCTGTGTCATTTCACTTAGCCTCCTCTCTCATTTTCTCTCCTTTCCTGCCACATCTTTTCATTCTCGTCACTTTGTTCCCTCTCCCCCAAAAATAAACCACCTCAAAACAGATTTTTTTTTTTTTTTTTTTTTCCTAAATGACTTGTATTTGTGACTACTTTATTCTGGAATTATTTCTTCTTAGTATTTTTTTCCTGCAGTGACTTTGTTGAGTCTTGCTTCCTACTTTAAAGTGTCTGTTTCTAAGATTACAGCATCTTTGGAAGGGATGAGAGGGGCTTCCTGACGTGAGGTACCTTATAGGTGGCAGCTGCCTGTGGTAGCTTATATTCTGTGGAGGTAACTGTTTTAATGGTGCTGTGACTTGATTTAATAATTAATTATTAAGGATAATTAATTATGCTACAAGGCTTGTTGCTCTAGATAGACATCTTTATTATTTTATAGTAAAATAAATGAAATAATAATGCAGGAAAGGTATTCTGAGAGCCGTAAACATGCATAATTTTGACTTTGTGTTCTTTCATGCAAAAATTACAAACGCTTTGTGAATCAGTGTGTGATCTCAAAGCCTTTAATATGTAGTTAACCTTTGTGGTGCTTAACTTTTGACCAAAAGGTTGTAAAATTTGCAGGTCAAAATTGGTACTGTTGTGGGAATTAACATTGATCATTTTTTCAGATGGGCCAAAGCGCTACTCTTTGTTACTACAGAAGTATAATAGGCATTTTTAAAGGCTAACATACTTTGTGTTTTTAGCAAACAAGCATCAGATTAAGATGATTGGCAGAAGAAAAACAGGGATAACAAATATGTTTAATCACTGTTGTATATTTTGTGGGATGTCACCCCAACAGGGAAATTGCGAGGTGGTGGCAGCGGCGGCCTGTTGGTCCCGCTGGTTTTTGCTTAGGTGGGATCAGAATCGTGGCCTCTCAGGCAGTGCTGCAAACCAGAGGTCCCACTGTTTGGGCTCCTCTGCAGTTGCACAGGGCTCCCTAGTCTCGAGACTAGTCCATTTGTTCTCTCTGTTAAAGATTCTCTAAATGCAATTTGATTAGGCCTTTTCCTTAATCCTATTTGATGTAATTATTTTCTTTTCCTGATCCTGGTTTAGTTTGGGATATTGAGGGTCTATTATTATTATTTTTATTTTTGATTCTGTGATTCTTTAGGTTGTCCTTGTTTGGGGAACATATTTATGCATTGCAGAGTCACTTATTTGCAAGCATTAACTGTGCTGCATGTCTGTGCTCTGCTTTATGCATTATTTAAGATTTCGGTTCAAGAGCCTGTGTAATTGGCTTATTTATGCCAAGTCTTCTCTGATTTCGTTCATTTTATTCATATGCCTTGTTCCCAAACATACCTATTTTTTTTCTATGTAAAGATTCAGCATTTTAGAAGCTGAAGAATATCCTTACAATACAGCAAGASGTTGAGGTGTATCAAAACAGCAATATCCTTCCTGAAGTATTTTTTTAGGCTGTAGAATGGGATACTGAGCAGCAGCTGGTGAGATGGCGCAGAGCATTTACAAGCCAATCGCATCCTGCCTACTGTGTGGTTTTATATGTGTCCTTAGTTCTAGGCCTGGTTCCCGTCACCTCGGCCTACATCCATATTAACAAGCAGTGTAGGGCAAAAGGGTTGTTCTATTTTASAGCAAAATACGTGATGCTGAGGCAGCACTATCCACATTTCAGGCATTATTTTGGTCTAGCTCTAGGCTTGTCCTGTGGTGTGAATGCCCAGTAGCTGCTGGAGCATACTGGGGTATTCCTATTTAATTGCATCTGAATTGAATCCAGTTTGCGTGCTGTGGAACCACAGCGTGTTGGGCAGATCCCTGCTTTCTCCCACGGGCAGACTCTGCAGCTGGCCAGGAAAGGAGCCCTCTCCCTCTATCCAGAGGTGCTTTCACCTGACCCAACTACGCTTTCCTAAAGGACATATACCAYAGAAATTGAGAATAGCCAAACAAAGCAGATACGTGTGTTGCAAACTCACAGCTTGACATTTAATCTAAGAACAGCCTCTCCAGTTGTATAGAGATAACTTGGGCTATGAAAGCTGTAAATAGCATCAGAATTAGTGTAAGCACGAGGGGGAGGAGAGGAGCACCATCGATAACAGGCAATTTGGGAGGATTGACTATGAAAATCAATGAAAGAACTATAAAAAATTCTCTTATATTTCTCTTCTGTTTGCAAACTGTCTGTCAACTAGTTGTGTTTCAAAAATATATATATATTGATTGCAATTACTCAGCAAACATTTGTTGTTTATGTATTTCAGGCAGCAGATTGCTGACAAACTATTTGCTGTGAGTGATTCTTGGACTATTTGATGATCCWCATTTATATTTGCAATTTGAATTGCTTTCACTGCATGCATAGGTGACGTTTATTCCCACTTAGATAATAGTTAATGTGTAGGACCAGGGTTCCATATTTGGTCATTTAAATCATATTTTCTATGAAAATATCGTTAACATTTCTGAATGCCATTCTTACTAAACTCAAATGTGGCTGACATTCTTAGGAAAGAACAAAATTCCACTGCAAGTACATTGAAATACAGCACAATCATTATAGTCAGGTTTTTTTTTTGAAATGTTTCCTCAGCTATTCTATTAAGTTGTGTGAACAAAGAATTGCTATCCAATATTTTGGTGTTTGTTTCTTTCTGGAGCTTAGTACATCGTACTACGTTTTTCTTAAGCAAAAAGTTACTCTTGATTACAACATTACTTTTAATGTAAGGGTTATCGTTTTGCTTTTGATTGTAAGGGTTAATATTTGACTTTTATTCTTTGGAATTTATTGTTCAGATTTAGGTTTTCCAGCTGGCTAAAATAGAAATCTGCCGCATGCACTGTACACCAAATGGGTCAAATGCACAGTGAATATTAACTGGATATTATAATATTCTTAATTTGAAATGCACATATTTTACATTAAGCTCATACTTGTTTTGACAAATCCTTCAGTTCTCAAAGACTCTTGAGTGATGAAATCAAAAGTATTTTAAATACTTTTTGAGTTTTGCAGAATAGCAATTTTATTAAAAAGCATGTAGACTGGCCTTCTGATTATTGTTGTACTAAGGAAACAGGTAATTCCTTTCCAGATCATTTAAAATAGTTCACTTTTGGGAAAAACAGGATTCTAAAAACATTATGAATCGAATGCCCCAAATTCATGCATTTAGTCTTACTACAATGGGATTAAAAATACTAATAGTAGACTTTTTATCATTATTACTTGATTTTGCTGTTGTGAGCCCTCAGGTTTGAATCTTCAATCAACAGTCC